GAACAGAGAAGAATTCTGTAACATAAGGACTTTTGAATACACTTTTTCCTTCCCTTTGACGTACTTTGTAGAGGTGGTTGATGGTTTAGCACTGGTTCTTCAGAGACCTGTCAGAGCCACTCCAGTATTCCTTTCTCATTTCTGAGGCTTCTTTTTGCTGAATAGTAAGAGTGGGGTTTATACTGGTGACTGGGAAGAAGAGCCAGTGATTTTCTAGACTTCCCGAGTCTCCTGTGATGGTGCAAGGTTTTCCCTCTGCTTCTTGAGCTGCATCTCCTCCCTCCTGCTTCCCTTTGACCGCCTTCCACCTGAGAAGAGCTCAGCTGTCACCTGGTGTGCTTGCCAGAATCAAGAACTGTGACTTGTGTGCATTGCTTGCTTTCCTGGGCTCTTTCTGGTTCTTGGAGACTTCTAGGTGTAAGGTCCTACGGCAGAGCATAAGGAATTAAATATGTTCAAGAAAATACCTTAGTTTACCACCATCATCTTCCACTCGATTTACTGCAGCTGCCTTCTAATTGGTCAACCTGCCATCTATTTTGTTCCCTCATCCTCAACCCATTCTCTGTACTGTAGCTGCAGCGACCTGTTTCCAAAGTAGAAATCTGATGTATCCCTCACCTGCTTAAAACCTGCCAGAGGCACCCCATTTCCCTCAGGATGAAGCCTAAACTCCTTAGCATGACCCACAAGGCCCTCAAGTGCTCCAGACCCTGCTTATGTTTCCAGCCTCATTTCCTCCCTTTCTCGCAATGCTTTTGCTAAACTCAGCTTCTAATGGTCCCTGGACGAGTCATGTTCTTTCTTAACTCCAAATCTTTACATACACTATTCTCTCTGCCTGGAATTTTCTCCCCTCACATTTACCCCTCTTCTGAGTAATAATGATTCCTTCTCCAGATCTCATTCTAGATCAGTGGATCTTAACCATCAGGAATCAACCTGACTTGAACAATGGACCCTCTCTGCAAAAACAAATGTGTGCTCCTGTGTGCTCACATTCTGCATACAGTCCAGAGTGCAGGAATCCTTGTTTAAGAACTTGTAGTGCTGAGCCCCCTTTACTAGCATTTAACACGTTTTCTCATTGTTGGTTTACTCCTCTCTCTCTCTTTCTTAATCTGAGCTCTGTGAGGGCAGGGCTTTGACTTGTTCACCATTGTGTCCTCTGAACCCAGCATATACTTGGCACATGGGGTCTGTTTGATATATGTTTATTGAATGAATGAGTGAATCAACAAATATCTGCCTTTGAGTGGCTCTTGTTCTGTTTGAAGGAATAGACATGGATGTTAACAGATGACAAGCAGAAGATGGAAGGGACTAAAAAGATGTGCATCCAACAGACATTTTCTGAAAGTTCTGAGTCTACGGTGGCTGAGCTGGGCCTCTGGGGGAAAACCAGCCAGGTTGCCTTTATTCTAGTCTACAAAGACACATGTCTGCCTGTCTCTTCTCCCGAAACCAGCAGCCATTGTGGGATGAGCCTGGCTCTAGCAGGCATTCGTGCTATATAGAGAGCACGGGTTGACCTTGAAAATGGAAGTACTTAACAGGGCTCGTGTTCTGTTTTCTAGAAATATTTTGTTAAAGTCGTAGAGGTGAGTGAAGAAGCAAGAATGACCAAACCTTTGATGGTTTCTGTTCCACAGAAATTACTGGAGTCCTTGGAATTATGAGATGTCAAGAGAAAGCCTCTACTCTTCCTTTGTTTCCTCGTTCCAACAAATATTTTTAAAGTGCTTGTTATATGTTACACACTTTGTTAGGTGTTGAGGGTATCTTGAAAAAATAAGCTGACAAGATCCCATTCCTCTTGGTCCATGCTGGCTAGTGTTAAGTACCTCAGAATTTGCTCTCTGCAGAATTTGAACCCAGGGCTTGTTTGGGATACTTTCATCAAGGTCACTAGTTAGGGTCAGGTTTGAATTATAGAGGGTTTGTTAGAAATGATGTGAGGTCTAGAGTGAGGCCAAGGTTCAGGTCCCAGCCTCTGACCTGGGATACCTCCTGTGCAAATACCTCTTGAAATGCCAATGCCGTAATTTGTAAAATGGAGGTAATATCATATGTCGCCTGAGGTTGTTATAAAGGTTAAATGAATTAACATGTATGAACCCTTAGCTGAGGGCCTGGCGCATAGTAGCAACTATTATTACCACTTGTAGGGGCTGTTTAAGCTGAAGTTTTGGTTTGGTGCAGTAATTGCCGTTGGTCCATTAGAGATAAAGTTGAATATGATAAGTGTGTGACTTACACAGGTCTCCAATTTTCCTAAGGGAGCTCTTAGAAAATAGTATTGTCTTTAAGACCCTAGTTTTTCTTTCACCTGTTTTCCCCTTGCTTATTTTATTTTATTTTTTTAAAGATTTTATTTATTTATCTTTAGAGGGAAAGGGAAGGAGAGAGGGAGAGAAACATCAATGTATGGTTGCCTTTTGTGCGTCCCCTGCTGGGAATCGGACTGCAGGGAACTGGCCTGCAACCCAGGAATGTGCCCTGACCAGGAATCGAACCTCGATTGTCTGGTTTGCAGGCCCGTGCTCAATCCACTGAGCTACACCAGCCAGGGCTCTCCCCTTGCTTATTGATGTTTTAAGTACTTAATGCAGAAAATAAGTAACTTCAGAATCATGGTAAAGAAGCAGAAAATAAGTCTCATAAGTCCCATCATCTAGAAAACTAGGTCTTAACATATTCTGGACATTTGAGGCTGATAGAAATCATTTGTCATCCCCCCAGAAAATTCAGACTTTTGTTCGTATATATAAATATTTTCATACAATTGCAGGAATTTCCACTTGTTTACCCAAAGTTACAAGACCTTCACCTGACTCCCAATTGCAGATTTCAGACAGAAAATAATCAGGCCAGGTTCTGATTTCTCGCTCACAGGCGGGCTGCTGAGTCCCTTGGTTCTCGCAGTCAGGCTGCTCTGTTTTTGTTTTTGTTTTTCTAATGCCCAAGTTCTTAAACTAAGGATTAGTTATCTTCAGTGATATTTTGCAACATAATCACCAGCCGACTCTAATTTCCTCCTGGGCATGTTTTTGTTTGCATGTCTTGGAGTAAAATCAAGAAAGATTGTGAGAACCTAGCTTATGGGTGGAGGAGAAATCCATCATCTTTTCCGGCTTCCTCTTTGCTTGTTCGTCCTGCTTCAGGGCTCTGGGTGCTGAGGCCTTTGGACTGGCTTCTACGGGCAGTCTGAGGGAAGAGAGAACAAAGTGTAGGGTCTCTGGTCTACCTGATCTGGCAGTGAAGCTAGCAGGCAGGGTTTGGAACGTCCCCCCTTCCCCTTGCTGCAGTCATTCATGTCCAGAACTCTGTTGGGGCAGGAACTGTGGACTGGTGGAGGAATCATGTGCTGTCCATGTGGCTTGGAGGTAGGCGTCTGCAGCCCACATGCTGGACTGCACTTATTTTCTTGGCTCCAGTGCACAAATTCCACAGAGAGAAAACAACCTCCCAGGCTCTCTTTTTGAGCTGACATGAGGGCTTCTGAGTCCCTGTTTCGTACAGTCAGGTTGCCTTTATTCCAGCCTATGAAGACACATGCCTACCTGTCTTTTCCTCCTGAAACCAGCAGCCGTTGTTGCATGAGCCTGGCTCTAGCAGGTGTCCGTGCTGTACAGCGAGGGCAGGCTGAAGTGAGCAGCCTCAGGCCTGTGAGAACGTGCTGCCGCCGCCGCCGCCTAGCCCACAGGCCCGCGTCCTCTCTTTCTAATCCAACTGTTCTCCTCGACTCTGATCCAGCTTCCACCGTGCATTCCAAATGTCACTCCAAAACACCCATTTGTTGATGTCATTCCCCTCTGTGAAACTCTCCAGTGATACTCTTCTTAGTGTCAAGTCCAAACTCATTTGCAGGGCTTACAGCGTTCTGTAAGTCCTGGCCCCTATCTGCCTCTTCAGCTGCCTTCCTCGCTGTTACCCTAGGTACCAGCCATGCCAACCTTTTGCTGTTGCCAGAATTTATCTCATTGGCAATTTCCTCTCTTTACGCTTATGGTTGATGCATCCAGCTCTTTTCTTACCTTGCTGCCTGCGGAGCACTCTGTTCTCTAATGCCTAGCTCAGAAGTGACCTACTAGGGTGTCTTCCCGGATTCCCCAGGCAGGACTCCTTGCTCTGTCTTCTGCATCCTTGGGATTTAGTCCTCTGTCTTGGTTACAGGTGTGGGGTCAGAATCATTGGTTTCAATCCTGGCCTGACTTGCCCTTTCCTGGATTTGCCTCAGATTCTTCATTTGTAAAGTGGGGGTAATGTTAGTAACCTCATAGGTTGTTCTGAAGATTTAAAAAGGCAACACTTTAAAGTGCCTGAGACAGTGTTTGGCCATAGTCAGCTAAATGTTACTTTTTATTGTTGTTGTTATCATAGTTACTTTGCATATGCCTCTACTAGTTCTTACCACCTCTGTTTATTAATATTTTTATAAATCTGCCAGACTAGACCGTGTGCTCTTTGAGGACAGGGGCATATTTTTTTCTCTTTTTTGGGCCTTCTGTGTAGAGGTTTACAGTAAATGTTGGTTGAATGAGTTATTGCACACAGATTTGCCTTCACAATGGAAATGGGCAACAGATAGAGTGGGGATTCTTAATATCAGGTTTGTGGTTGATCACAGACCCAACGCTGATGTGTCCTGATGTGTCGTCAGCTGAATGCCAGAATGAATTCCTTCTGGTGACTTCCAGAGTGGGGTCAGTGCTTTTATGTTATTTAGACAAAGCAGGAGGCCATGTGAAAGTTAAGCATTCTCTAGGTCAGGGGTGTCAAACTCATTTTCACCAGGGGCCACATCAACCTCAGGGTTGCCTTCAAAGGGCTAAGTGTAATTTTAGGACTGTAACAGCTCCTTAAGAGTTAAGTGAGAGCTCGGCAGTACTGCCAGGTAGAAACAAGGTGCTGGGCCGGATTCGGCCCGTGGGCTTTATGTTGCCACCTGTGCTCTAGGTGCCACGTTCATGTCCATTTTGTTTTGTTTTGAATTGTAGGTGACATGTCTGAGAGTAAAGCCAAGAAGATTGAAATCAAGGATGTGGATGGGAGGACACTGAGTAAACTGATCGACTACATCTATACGGCTGAAATTGAGGTGACCGAAGAGAACGTCCAGGTAAACGCAGACGCAGCTAGTAGCTCAGCGCTCCGCGCACTCAGGGCCCACCGTTTTACAGCGTCCTTCTATTTAGCCCTCCCAAGAACGAGTTGGTCGCTGGAGAGGAAACTAAGCTTCCAAAGGGGTTAGGTGATTTGGCCTGGGTCGCAAGGTCAGTAGGTGGGGGGACGACCTTCAGACTCATGCCCGCCTGACCGCGCATCAGCCACGCTGTTCACCAGTACGCCACAAGACCTCAGAATGAGCTTGGACCCCAGAGCGGAATCCAAGAAAGAGGGCGGGCCCCGCCCAAACCTTTGGTGAAGGAAGAACTGAAAGCCGGGATGACTCTGCTTCTCCCCAGTCATCATCTCATCTCAAGGATTTTGAGTTTGGGATTGTAAGGATTATTTGGATTGTGAAAAATGTTTTCCTGTTTCAATACTAGTCAACTGAATGCATCTGGGCACAGGGAGGTGCCAAGCGCCAGGCCCAAATCTCAGCAGGGGTGCGTAGCTGTGAAGTGATCGTCTTGTGCTTTTTCTTCTTTTCACTGCCCTGCCCTCATCCTCCGTCATCCGGGGCCTTGGAAAGTGGAGTCAGTGACGATGCTGCTTCACCCAAAGGCTCACGTCTGCACTGTGTGGGTGTGAGGCGCAGCAGCAGGCCTCAGGCCGGGAGGCGGTTGGAGGTGTGGCCCCGTCTGTAGCCCTTCAAATCACCAGGCTGCACAGAGACACAGGATACACTGTTCCTTGTCATTGAGGATCTTACTCTTCATTTAAAGTGCTGGCAATTTCATGTGATATAAAGGTTTTTAGTTTTTTGTTTGTTTTTTAAAGTACAATTCCACCTTATTTATTGTGAGGCAGATGCCAAAATACCTACTACCCTACCCAGACATACCTCCTTTTCCAGGACTGAGGTATTTGAGAGGCTGAATTGGTGAACATTTATTCATTCAGTTCAGGCCAAATGTTTGAGTGCCTGTTACACGCCATAGGCTTTGTTGGACAGTGTGCCTGTAACAGTGAGCAGTGGTCACTCCCTTCCCTGCTTTCATGCAGTTTGCGGTCTAGGGGTGAAGACAAATGCTCATCAAATAAGCTCACATGTAGTGTTCATGCCGGAATTGTGGTGAAATCTTTTGAAGGCAAAGAACATGGCAAACAATGAGAGAGGATGTAAAGGGGTCTCGGAAGGGCTGTTTCAGAAGCTAAGATGTAACCTGAGGCCTGGAAATAAGGGGGAGGTAGTTTGGTGGTAAAGGGTACTCATAAGTGGGGGAGGGGTCAAGGTGCAGACAAGCGGAGGGGTGAGGCACACTGTATTTGGGCCTGCAGAGCCCGCCCCACGATAGAGCTGGCCCTTGTGTCTGGGCGCTGGGCACACTCTTGCACTGTACAGTGATCTGGCCTAATGCTCCCCCACCTCATTAAAACGAGGTGTATTTTATACACAGCAAAATGCACAGCTATTCCATTTTGTTTCTGGTCTTACCGTTCAGGATGGAGTGGGCGATGTGATGGTTACATCCAAGGTCTAGCAGCAGAATTTAAACGGCTGAATGGCTTTTGATTAGTACGTGCAAATAATTTAGTATAAAATGAGTATATGACAAATATCTAAAATTTTTTAAAATGGATGGTGGTCATATCAAATTATCATATTTAAACTTATTTAGGTACTTGATATAAATATTGGGATTTACAAAATGCACAAAATTACATTCTTTGCAACTCTAGTGAGAAATGCTAGTTAGATGTCAACCTAAAAATGTTCAAGGGGTAAATAATTTTTGAAACCCTTACATTAGGGTATATTAGTAACTAATTAATCATATAGCATGGTAGGCAGAAGAAGGGCCCCCAAAGATGTCCATGTCTGAACCCCCAGAATCTGTTAGGTTAAATGTCAAAGAGAATTTAATGTTGCAGATAGAATTAGTGGTGCTAGTCAGCGGGACATGCTGTGGGGAGACCACCTTGGATTATCTAGGTGGGCCCAATGTAATAGCAAGGGCTCTTTAAGTGGGACAGAGAGGCGGCATAAGAAGAACTAGAGAGATGTGATCAGATAAGAACTCAACTACATGCTTCTGGCTTTGAAGATGGGGGAGGGCACAGACCAAGGAGGGTGGGGGCCTCTAGAAGCTTGAAAAGCAAGAAAGCATTCTCCTTTAGAGCTTTCAGAAGGAGCAACCCTGCTGACACCTTGATTTAGCCTGGTGAGGACCTTTTGGGACTTCTGCCTTAAGAAACCTTTAAGAAAATAAATTTGTATTGTTTTAAACCACCAATAAAACAAGATAAAAAGCAAACCCAAGTAACAATACCTGCAGGGGAGGTTATAGAATTGTTATGATTGAAACCAACTTTTTCCCTCCCTTTTCATGATGTATTTATTTAATAACGTTTTTTGGTGAAGTACAAAATTTTTACAAACTAGCAATTAGAGCTGTTTCACTCTGCATCCATTTCACTTGGCTAGGCATTTATGTTTGCAGCTTTGGTCTAGCCCAGTAGTGGTCTCTGTAACACCAGTTATCTTAAGGGAGGTAGCAGCAGACAGACTAATTAGAGGACTTTGGGGGAAATGACTTCACCCTTACTTTTAAAAAAACTGCTTTGTAGGGATGGGAGCCCAGGGCGGGAGTGAAGATGTGCAGGTTCAGAGGACATACAGGACTGGAGGTGAGGCGGGCATTGAGAATGAGTGGAGAACTGGGTCTGAGTCTCGGCTTCACCGCGCATTGCCAGTGTACTCGTACTCTAGCCCTTTCCCACCGCAGGGTATTGGTTTCCCATCTGTGAAGTGGGGGCACGAGACTTTGTGACCTCTGGCTGGAGAAGACTCCCAGCCAGCTCCTGGTTTGTTTTTTCTTCCTTCTATGAGAGCCTCTCCGATATCCACACTGACATCCTGCCTTAAGGATCAGTTTTCTCATCTGTAAAACAGGAATCAAAATAGCACCCATATTACTGGGTGGTCATGAGTTAAACCATCTGCCTTCAAATCATGACTCTGCCATTTTCTAGCTGTGCCTCAGTGTTTTCATCTGCAATCTGTGCATAATAGGAGCACTCAAGCACATAGGATTGGTGTGAGAATTAAATGAGTTACTTTAGGTAGGGCACTTAGAAGAGTGCTACCCTGTGCCAGCAGACTATATGGGCCCAGAGAGCACTGGAGCATAGAAACCCTTTCACCGAGGAGCACATGGTCTGAAGCTGGGGACAGATGGCTCAGCATGGTGCCCAATAGTGTTGTGGGGGACAGTGTGGAGGTACCCAGGAAGCAGGAGTGGTCATCACCACCCGGATGAGGGTGGCCAGAGCAAGCCTCGGTGAAGAAGTGTTGTTTGAGCCAGATCTAGAAGGAAGACCGAGGGGTCAGGCCTGCCTCCTCTGCCCACCTCTGTCCTCACTGGTGTGTGTGCCCCCTGATGGACGTGCGTTGGGTGGGAGGGGCCGGCGTGGGCAGAGGCTCCACTAGGAAGCACAGTGTGGAACCTGCAGGGAACTGTGCACTGTTCCGAATCGAGGTGTACTATTTTCTTTTTTTCCTCACTTTAAATTGTGGTTTGCTCAGGGGTGACCTTGGGGAAAAACAAACAAAAAAGGCTTCTTCTTCTCACTGTTATGTATGTTCTGAGGCAGTTGCTCACAAGTTGTCTATGGCATCAGTATTTGAAGGTGTGGTTCCCCGAGAAGGTGAGCATGGTGGCACTGGGCTCTCCTGAAAGCCTTCGGAACAAGAGGCAGAGGTTTGGGGTGGGGTTAAACGGCCGGGAGGCTATGCCCTTAACCTCCTCCTGCCACACAGACCTTGGAGACACTGTGTTGACCTTCTGTGGTGGAGGTAACAATTGTCATAACTGACACATTAATACTTACTGCAAGCCAAGTATGTGTCGATCACTTCGCATGCATTATTTCATTTAATTCTCATAACCATCAAGGGAACAGCCATCTGTGACCCTTCTTTTACAGTTGGAGAAACTGACGTGCAAAGGCGTTCAGCGGGTGGCACCCACAGTCACGTGGGGAGTAAGGGGTAGAGCTGGGATTTCAATCCAGCTCTCTCCAGCTCACTGTATTCTATCGATGTGGTGAACGTGGGTTTCTTGTTGAATGAATGATCAGAATCTTGACTTCGGCTGATAATTAGTAATAACAAAAACCAATGTAACTGAGCACTCCCTATGAACCGAGCACTATGTTAACTGCTTTAAATGAATGATCTTATTTGATTGTTATAACAAGTCTTTAAGGCAGTACCATTATTATCTTCATTTTACTGTTGAGGCAGAGACACAAAGAGGTTAAGTAATTGCTTTTAGTCAAATTACTGGTACATGGAGAAGTCAAAATCCAAATAAGACTTTCCATCACAGTGTTATTTTGCTAGCTCTCTTGTTCACCTATACACATCTCCCCTTTTCTTCCCCTAACTCATGCTCCCTCTTGCCCCTCCCCTTCTCTCTTCTTTTTCTCGACAGATTATTGCTTTAACAGTGTCTGTGCCAGGTCTCATGCCTGGCGCCGGCAGAGACAGACCCACGGTGTCCTGGGGCCAAGGCCTTGGGCAGCCCTGTTCCTGCGCCGCCGGGCCTCTGGCTGGGGCCCTCCCTTGGTGCATGGCCCTGCCTCCCTGAAATTCCAGGATTAGGTGCTTTTTGAGGCAGGGCATTTCCTTTTGTTTTTGCTAAAGGAAATAAACTCTGTGACGGGATATCCTCTGCTGTGTTTTCATATTATCCGAGGAAGGGAAAAAACAAAACAGGGCCTGCAAGTGAAAAATGGAGGTGAGGCCATTCGTAAGCTGGAGGGGAGCCTGTAACCTCTCTGCCGAGGGTCAGTTCCAGGGCCTGTTTTCCCAGAACAGTAATACCGAGGTGGAGGGAGGCAAGCTAAAAGCTTTGACTTAGGATCATCTTCCACCCCTGCCGTGGTTCCAGTCAAGCGCCTCTTCTCTGGTCTCATCCTCCTCTATCCAGGGACCTGGGCTGCCCTAATGATTCCATCAGTCTCGCTGCAAGGCTGAGAGTTACCCAACCTTAGCCTTTTGTTCGAAATCTTGCTACTGCTGCCGCTTGAGGCCATATAAGAGAAGAGGGCGTCCTCTGAACTCTGGTTGATGTGGGAGACGGAGGTGAGGACAGCCCCTTAGGGACCTACACTCTCTTTTCTTTCACAGCCTCTGGGGATTTGTGCTTGTGCTCATGTGTAGCCCCCAGAACCCCGCTGGACTGGGGCCCAGTTTATCCCTGAGAGTCAGAGTTTAAGCAGTGGTAGATCTCCCAGCCTCCAAACCTTCCCCCTCAGCATTCTGATTTCCTTTACTTTCCTTCACGCCTTCCTGTATGAAGCAAATAGTGGGAAGAAAAGGGCCTTTGACTCATAGCTAGCTAATCGCAGTGTAAGATCAAAGAGAGGGAAGGAGCAATTAGAGAAACCACCAGCCCCATTTATTTTAGGAAGTCAGCTTGGGAATGCTTTTGGGCAGGAGAGGACCCAAACAGGATGGGGGGGCAGGTGGTATGGAAAGGTGGAAAATCTTATAATTTTTGCCTACTAAGTGGGTTTTGTGAACAGTAGGGAAGTGGGAAGCTATGTGGGTAGCTCTATCCAGGGAGGTTTTAAAAACTGAACATTTTAACCTAAGGAATGTGTTCAGGAAATGTTTATTATTTTATTTCATTGGCTGGTTGTCATGAGCTAGGGAATTTAAGCATCAAATTGTGCTGCTGTCCTTTTGGTGCAGGAGAGGGCAAGGGCGAAAGGGTGTGTGCCCCTGGCATGATCTCATCTTGGTTTGGCTGGGAATACACCCTGGGTTGGACTGGCCTCTCAGAAATCCTCGTCCATTGGGTTGAAGGGCTGCCGTCCCATTCCTGCCTCTGGGCACGCCTGACCCTTTTGGGGCTTGCCACACCACTGAGGAGGGTGCGTGCTGGACAACATTTGATTACTCCTCTCCACCAGGGCTGCTTAGGGTCCCTGGTTGGAAGTTCCTTCTCTCTAGGGTGAAAAACTGACCCTGGGACGTAGGACTTTAGTGCTAAACCTGACAAAGTCTCAGCAAACCTGGATGGTTGGCCAACCTGTGTGGCCCTAACTATAGGGTCTGTAGCTACTGCTGGCAGCGGGGTGGCTTGGAGGTCATTCGGGAGTTTGGAACAGAGCTTTCTGTTCCCAGTATGTATTCAGCAAGAATTGTTAATAGTTCTCCCCGTAACTCGAAGGCAGAGACTAATCTGGTCCTGGAATCTGTTTGGCTGAGCAAGCTCACAGCTTAATTGAGTTTCCCAGTTTATGACTGTTGAGTGGGGACAGTGGCTGCCTGGTGAGAGTGGAGCTTAAGTGGTCAGATTTGCAGCCCGGCTGTGTTCACTTATGATCTAAAGCTCAGGGGCAGGTGATTTTTAAAAATCTTTCTCCTTTTCTGGAATGAATCAGAGTTTGTGTCTTTGGAAAATACCAAGGACACAATGCTAATTTACCGTTGTCCTGCTGGAGACACAGGAGGGTGGAAGAGAGAGGGTGAAGGAAGGGAAGAGGAGCAAGCAGGTTTTGCAGAATTTGGCCACCATGAAAGAGAAGTTTAATAGGCTTGTAGTTAGAGGAGCTTTTCTTACTGAGAGCAAGCATTTAACTTGGGAGTAGGCCCACTGGGAGTGGAGGCTCTGGTTGCTTCTGCATGTGGGCAGGGTGAGAAAGGCTGCCCCCTGGTCCCAGTGTTAGCATTGAAAGTCTTGTGTCCTTAGAAACCCCTTACTCCTCAGCAAACCTGGACAACTGGTTATCCCAGTGAAGGGATAAGGCCCAAGAATGGGCAGCGTGGCAGAGTTTTTGGCCTGAGCAGGTGCTGGTGAGGTGAGCCAGAGTTGATGCTCAGAACTGTTTCGGAAGATGGTCAGGGTCCAGAATTTAAATTACTGGGAAAAAAACTTGTAGTGCCCCGAGTCAAGAAAATAAATGCATCTGTAGCCTTGTCCGCCTGGGCATGCCCTCGTGGATGGGGACAGCTGGCGTCGGCCTGGCCCAGACACTCTGAGAGCCAGGGGAGCAGCCCAGAGCAAGGCCCAGGGCACGGCAGTTGTTTGGGGGTGAAATGGATGCTGTGGACCCTGCACTAAACAGCCTCAGACCAAACTATTTATTTATTTTTTTCTAAATTTCTGTTTTGAAGGTCGTGCTCACACTTTTTGCCTGCTCCACAGGGTAGGGGTAAGGGGAGGCGGAGCTGGGGTCAGGTCGGACTCCGGCCGCCTCTCCCCGGCAGTGCAGGAGAGGCCTAGGGAATCTGACAGGGTTGGCGGCCTGAGCACCCCTCTGGCCTGTGGGGGCCAGTCCTCCCTGGCTTTTAGGAAAAACACATGCAAACACACCTGAGCAGGACATTCTTCTGTCTTCTGGAAAATAATGTAAATACTCATGTGTCCTGTGACCTTTTAAAAGGAAACTCAGCTCTCCTTTCTCTGGGATTGCACTTAAATACGTTCTCTTTATCTGTTGGATGGGAGAGTGAAGAGTGTTTACCCAAGTCCTAGAGGACTTGTTCCAGTAGATTATAAGGTCCATTAGAGGAGGGGTCTGGTTTGTCGTGCTTACCATTGAATCTGAGGGTCTAGGTTAGTGCTTGGCCCAGAAACATTCGGTAATGAAGTGGTGAACCAGCTAGGGAACAGTTCAGTGAGAACTTTTCTGTGCGAAGACAGTATGCCAATGGCCGTAGGGCAGTGATTCTCAAACTTGGCTGTGCATTAAAAGTACCTAGGGAGCTTTAGAAACATCTCACCGTCCAGGCCACACCCCATTCCTCTTCAGTGAGAAACTTTGTGGGTGAGACCCAGGCATCGGTATTTTAAAAATTCTCTAGGTGATTTTAATGTGTAGCCAAGTAGAAGAATCAATCTATTTTGGTCTGTTTGGGATGCCGTAATAAAATACCACAGATTGGGTGGTTTAAACTACAGACATTTACTGTGTCACCGTTTTGGAAGTTGGAAGTCCAAGATCAAGTTTCCAGCTGGTTCAGTTTCCGGTGAGACCCTTTTCTTGGCCTGCAGAAGATCTTCTTGTGTCCTCACATTATAGAGGGAGGGAGGGGGGAAGAGACAGAGAATGAGAGAGAGAGAGAATGAACAGTGGTATCTCTTCTTTTTGTAAGTCACCTTGGGACCCCACTCTTACGACCTCATTAACCATTGTTACTTCTTCACAGGCCCTGTCTCCAAATATTGTCACACTGGGTGTTTGGACTTCAACATACAAATTTTGGGGGGTAGGGCACAAACATTCAATTCATAAGGGCGCTGATAAAGTACAGTTCATGAACTAGCAGCTGCAACTTCACCTGGGTGTTGGTTAGAAATGCAGGCTCTCAGGTCCCACCCTAGACCTATTGAATCGAAATCAGCATATTGTAATAACAGAGTCCCCAGGGAATTCATATAGACATTGGTGATCAGGAAGCACTGCTGTGGGCTCTAGGGAAACAGCTCATAGGCTGGTGCTTAAGAGTTCATGAGGTGGAGAGTAGTGGGAAATAAGCCTTGGGCCAGATCAGGAGGTTCGGATTGACTTGGGCAGGCAGTGGAGAGCTTGCAGGGACCTTGAGCATGGGAGTGGTGTGATTAGAACAGTGCTTCAGGGAGATGAGGCTCTGTTAGAGGGATCCAGTGTCTCAGAATGTCACCTTCTCCTTCAGGTGCTGCTGCCAGCAGCCAGCTTGCTGCAGCTCATGGATGTTCGGCAGAACTGCTGTGACTTCCTTCAGTCTCAGTTGCATCCCACCAATTGCCTGGGCATTCGCGCATTTGCAGATGTGCACACCTGCACTGACCTTCTGCAGCAGGCCAACGCTTACGCAGGTAATGGGGAGCTGGGCTGCCGCACCTCCTCCAAGCATAGGGATTTCATAACCTGTTCTGCTGCGGGCTCCTCAAAGATTGTGAGACAGGCACTCTGCTGTTAAGCAGTTACATCTTAGGGAGCTAAGACACAGGTGGAAAGATGGTTAGCAATAGAAGAGTTCAACTCATTGCTAAGTATAATATGATTAATTATCACATGGATGATACAGACATTAATTTCCATGAGTGAAAAGGAAGGAGATCTGAGAAAACTTCATGGGGGAAGAGTAATTTGACCTAGTTTTGAAATAAATTTCTATTTTGATCAAAGTGTTCTTTAAACAGGACTTTAACCATCAAATACTACTGCATTTAACCATCAAATACCACGTGGCTTATAATGATGAGCGGGAGTCCCCTGCTCTGCTTTTCCACACCAAGTCGTGCTCTCTGGAGCCACTCACTGAACTCTAAAATAATTAAAATGCAGGCTCTGATTCAGCTAAAATCCATTTCATCTATTTATCTTCATTTATCCAAATATTGGTGATATGTTTACACCACTATTTTTGGAATAATTAGTTTTAGATATTATCTGTTGACTTTTCACAGAAGAATAAGACTGAACTTTTATATTTTATAGACTTCCCCCTCATACATACATCCTTCCCCTCTCTTTAGTTCTCTAATATTATTTCTACAACTGAGCTGTTCTATAATATAATTGTAGTTTTTAAATCTGAAAACTTTTGTTTTAAATCAGAAAGTCAGTAGTAATTGCCTTTTTCTTTTGCATAGTGAATTACTACCACTAATTTTCGTTAGGTAGAATTGAACAGTCCTTCTCAATACGTCAGAGAATCTGTTAGTTTTGTTTTATTTTTCTTAGAGACATTCTCCCTGTTAGAACTTGTCATGCTGTTATTTTAAGATCCTGTTATTTTACGAGGGCTTTGGGAAGGAGTAGAGATGAACACGAATGTTCGGTCCACCATACTTAGGTGGAAAGAGGTCTTCACTGATATTTATTTCAACTTGAAGACGAAGATCATGCATGGCCCACAAAATGGGCCTGGTCATTTTAATTGATAGGTTCAGTTGTGGACACCTCCTTCCCTTGCAAGAAATCATCTCGCTCTTCCCCTGCCTAAGCAAACACCATCTGTATTCTGTCCGTGTCTCCTGTAGCGCCCATATCTGGAAACTAGCTGAGGGCCTGCTGGCCGCCCACCTGCCGGCTCCCTGTGCTGCGTTAGCCCTTGGCCCACAAGGCAGCAGTCACTTACTGTGTTTCTGGACGTCCTTTTGTTCTCCAATCAAGCCTCTGCCCCCAAGAACCTACGTAGACTCTCATTTCTCCCCACAGTCTCTTTCTGTGACACAAGTGGGGCCAGTTGTTAAGATGATCTTGCTGATGATGATTTTTGTGAAGGGCATTCCACAGCTGCCCAGTTCTGAATTCTGCGGCCTGCTCTGTCTCTGAACCTTGACTCTGCTGTTGCTCCTGTGCCCTCCATTCTCTGCACATTCCCTACCACTTTTCTGCTTTTTCTCAGGGAGTCTTTTTCTCTCTCTAGAGAGGACTCTCCAGCCAAGTCTTTGAAGAGGGCACTTTCTTGAAGGATGTGCTCAGGCTTTGCGTTAGCAGCAGCCAAGAACTTGGCTAAAACCCAGGTCAGCACATGAACATCTGCTGGTGCAGTGACAGAGGAAGAGTGCTCAGATGCCAGGGATTCTCTGGCTCCCTTCCTTGGGTCCCTCCCCAGCCCTCTCCTTGTACACGGTGTGTGCGCATGGATGTGTGTACACACAGCACACGTCCCATCCTATTGTAGTTGGCTGACATGATCATCTGAGGCTTGGGAATGTGCTGAACCCCCACCTTTAACAGAGGCTCCCAGGTGCTTCCGGCCTGGTTTTTCCCCACTTTCCACATCTGTGTTTTCTCTCTTTTTCCCTTTCATGGCCTGATGGGGAGACCCACCCACGGAACAGTGAGGAGAATGCGCTTGGAGCACATCAGTGTGGTGGTGCTCCCTGGTCCTGATGCTGTTGCGTGATCAGGATCTGCCAGCACTGTGGGTGTGTGCACACACATGTGTGTCTGTGGAAATAATGGTGAATTGTTCTTAGCCAGTATTTACTGAGCCCTCACTTTGGGTCATGCCCTGTGCTAAACATTTTATGTATGTCATGTCATTTAATGCATGCAGCAGCCAAGGAAACTAAGGTACAGAGAGGTGAAGTAATTTGTTGGTGTCACACAGCTGGTAAAGACAGAGGCGGGATTCCAGCCCAGACAGTGCTGACTCCAGAGACAGTGATCGTCACTGTAGGCAGCCCTGTGAATCGGTAATCGAAGAGTGCTGGTGGCTAGAGTTGGCACTTGCCATGGGAAGTGTGAGCCTGGAGGCCTGTGCCACCTAGTCAGATGCTAACAACCAGACAGGGTAGACAGACGACCAGCTGTCCCTGCTAGACACAGGCTGTTTAGTCATCTCAGCGTGGGGAAGTGAGGTGTGGGCGTCTTCTCGTCTCTGCATGCGTGGGCCTTTCTTTTTTCCCTGGCTTGGTCAGTGCGACTTCAGGCTGAGAGCCTCTTCCCTGTCGTACAGGCCTCTGTGGAGCCTGTGATCATCTCCTGGTCGCAGCTTTCTTTGCAGCCTGCAGCAGAGAAATCATAGGAATACAGAGGTTGATAGGCCATGATGAAAAGACATTAGAAGAAGCAGTGTGAAGGTAAACTGTACAGTGTTTAGAGAAGGAGGTATAAAATGATTATCTTTGCTCCTTCCCCCAGTGGGTTTATATCCGCCCACCGATGTGGGCCTGCTTTGTTTTTGGTCTTGCACTTCCTGACTTGAGTGGAATCTAGCACTTTCTGCCATCACTGCCTCTTGAGCCAGAGCTGCTGCCTCGTCCCACTTGTAAATGTGGTGGTGTAGGCACCCACTAGGGGCACATTAAAGAGGCAGTGTCGGCTCCTGTAGTCACAGGCTTCTCTGGCCCCATGACTCACATTAGGGTGTGTTTTAAACCAACCAAGTGTGAGGAGACCCTCCAGATCACAACTAGGAGTCAGCCAACACTGGAGCTGAGTGACCGCTAGGCCTGTCTTCTCCTCTTTATGGTGAGGGTAGTACATCCTGCCCTGTTTTGGGGATGGTTTGGGGATCAGGCAGCACAGGGAGGAGAGCCTCCTGCAGAGTAGGCCCCACTCAAGGCTGTGCTCTAGAGCCTCCCTGCCAGGCTCCTGTCCACAGTAAGAGAGCCTCCAGTCTGGGTCTTGGTAGGGAGATGTTGCTCCTTGGGTTACCACTGCTGTGCTGTGGACAGCATGCACTTTTGGGGAGGAGATCATTTCCAGAGTTTATGATTTTGCTTTCTCTGTGTCCAGATGCACAGGCAGGTATACCCTGCTCTCCTATCTTGCCTAGTCTCTGGCTACCTGGACTCTGTCTTCACTTGTTCATGGCCCCCAGCTTTGCCTTTGAATTCTGTTTTGTTTTCCTTCTCTAGGACAAACTTGCGTTTGCTGTAATAATTATGGTTGCTATTGTTAGTGCTATCTTAATACAAAATCACCTGTAATTATTACAGAAAAAGCAGACAGGCAGAAAAAGCAGGCAAAGCAACACAATCCTACCCAGAGAAAACCACGGGCAGCACCTTGGTGAATAGTTTTCCCATTATTTTTCATTGCATGTTTTCCAGCTTAAACATATTAGTAGTATATTCTGATGATCCTGCCATGTTAGCAGATGCATTGCTATACTGTTCTTTTAAAACTTTAGAGAATGTATTCAACTTAAACCCATGATACAAAACGTCAAACAGTACATAAAGGTATAAATGCCAAGTCAATCTTCTCTTAGGCTTTCTTTCTGAGGGAACAGGGGAACTATCTAGTGTGTCCTTTATGAGGTATATAATGTATATAATGTATAATGTTCTTTAACTTAGCCAAATAGAAACATTCTGTAATCATTGTACTTTTTCTTGACTTAAAACAAAATTTTGGAGTTCTTTCCAGACCCTGTGTATGCCTATATACTATTCTTTTTATCTGTTGTATCATATGGATGAACTATAATTTATTTAACCCCAGCCCTTGATTAATGGGCATTACTGTTACCTGTTTTTCCTTTTATATAAAGTGTTGAGGAAGAATCTCTCTACATAATATTCTGAAGTGCACTTGTTAGTATGTAAGTAACAGTAAGATTGCCCCCATAGGATACCATTTTAGTAGCATAAAGTAGCTCAAAGAGAGTATGCATTAAAAAAAAAATTATTGGTAGATATTGCCAAGTTGTTTTCCAAAAAATGTAACCATTTTAAAAATCAGCTCGTGCCTTCTGATAAGTCTTCAGTTCCCTGGTGAAGGCACTGTTAGGCAGAGAGACTCCGAGAGGCTGGATTACCTACCACCTTTCTCCTCCCAGCTTACCTGTTTGGTTTTGTGTTTAGAATAGCCCTGTCTTTTCTTCAGTGGCAGTCCCTTCCTGCTTCCTCTGGGTCCAGTTTCCCTGAAGGTTATGCCCCCAGGCTTTTGCTGTGATATGTTATTCTGGGATGGGGGAAGGTGGGTCCCATATTTAGAGGCTGACAACTTAGAACCTTGTCCCTGGCTGATGGTATCAGAGTCCTCCTGGGAAGCTAGTAGCTGGGAAAGGGACCCTGGTATTTTGTACAGCCTGTTTCTTATACCTCATTATTGTTTCTAGGGACAGCTTAATCTTTAACCTCAGAGGCTATGGTAGGTTTATGGAGACTTTGTTTTTTGGTAATTGGATGGCCATGCACCGGGCCATCAGCAGAGCTGGTTGGGAGGGATGTTAATGAGACCTCATTAACGAAATGGCAATTAAAATTCTTTGGACATGTTGTTTACATCAGTCTGCGAAACCCTCCAGCCATGGAATGGAAAAGCCATTCGATTTAACGTGTTTGTGGAGAGAAATGGCCCTTTTTGATTGATTGAGGCATTTCAGATCATGGAATGAAGTGATTAAACT